CCTGTGAATGGTCTCCATGACATAGATCCTAAGAATACAATTTGGAAAGTCTCTTGCATCCCTCCTCTCACACTAGATGATAAATTATTTGCAAAACTCATCATTATGAAAACACTAAAAGAATAAAATCAAGTCCAGAAACCAAATGCAAAACGACAATACCAAGTCCAGACACCTTTTAATTTTTAAAAGAAGAGACTTGCAACTAAATGGAAAAGCCATACCTGCAGTTGAGTAATAATTGACACCCGTCCAAGGCTGAAAATTATAAAAGCGTCAAAAAATAATATACCTATGGATAGGTGTGTGCTAATGTACATTTCAAACACTCACCTTGAGCTTTGATAGTTTATCCTGAACTCCAGTGAGCATGGACAAAGTTGCAGGCCTGATCAATTTCATTGTCAGTGAAGATCCAGCAGAGAGAGAGAGAGAGAGAGAGAGAGAAGATGAAAATAACTAGGGAAAACAAGTGGTCATAAAAACTAGCCTCCTCTCATTGAAAAATGGTAGGCCACCATCAAATTAAACATCAAGAATTAAGTAATCATCAATCCATGATGCTGGATATATGGATGACAGAATTATGCAACCAGAACTGAATTTTGCAATAACATCCATGTAAAAGGTCAACAATTACAGACCTTAACAGAGTATTATCACCAAGCGTAGTAGAATTTTGCACTCTGAAAGTTCTGCACCATCAAACAAAAATAGAGATTAATTAGTAGTATTGTCACCAGCATCCCAAACTTACTTTAAAATCAACGACAGAAAATGTGATAGCACCATTGACTGGTAAACAAAAATAAAATACCATAAGATGATGCTTTCAATTATGTACTTTTTTCTTTAATAAGGAAGTTATTGAAAAAGACCTATCGCGCACAATTACTCAAACAAGAACAAGAGTTTGAAGCTAAAGAGCACCAGTGACCACAGGGTTGAATCAAGATCATTTCTCACATAGTTTAAGTGAAATTTGATAACATGATTTCCACAGTAAAAATCTTAGCTTATACTTTTTCAAAGGAATAAACCCCACTCACGTATTTACATATTCAGCTAATCCTTATGCGTGAGAGAAATAATATGTACATAGTACAGTGCAAAGAGAGAAACCCGCTTTAATCCTAGAACTGGTGGATGTGTTTATATTGAAAGAGTTTCCTTGAATGCTGAAAAACTAGATTCAAATTCAATCTGCAACTTCGTGAAACAGAATCCTTTGGTTTAACAATTAACACCCTCTCCAATTAGCAAAATCACTAAAACCCATTTCTATTTCATAAACAGAACGCACATTCTCATCAATTAGTGAAAAACATATAGTCCCTACACCGCAATTACAAATTGCCTCTACTCAAACTGATAAGTATGCCAGTATTAAAGACACTCTTAACACTTACCCGCCAATCCCCAACTCCCCAAATCTCAAAATTCTCATCATTCCAATCTAAATTCAGTCAAATACCAAAACTATCAACAATATTCCACCAACCCATTTCAGAAAAATCAATACTTTACTTTAAAAGCATCCCATACAATTCATGAAATGAACATATGTATCGGAAGTGATTGACAGAGGACGAGAGAGAGTGTACCGAGTGAGTGATCTGGTGGATGAGGAGAGAAGGCGAGCTCTCAAGAGAGAGGGCGCGCGAGAGATCACTGGGTGTCGAAGCCGTGAGAGCGCCATTTTTTTTTCCTTTACAGAGAAAAAGAAAGTGTCTTTCTTCTTTTCCTCGTTAAAATTCTGCTCAATGCCACACAGAGAAGGAGAGGTGCATATATGAATTTGTGATTGAGCTCAATATTTTTGGTGGGCTGCGAAGTTTGAACCAACAAGAAAGTCAGATCCCATGTACTAGCAGACTTACCCACCTAACCTCTCTATAGTTTGTACATTTTTTTTTTATCATTTATAAGGCTCTTCACGCATGTTATATAACTAGCCTTTTCACAAGCGCTTTTGGGCATGCGAGAGGCTTTTTTGAAAAAAAAATTAAATGTGTGTAAGAATTAAAAAATAATAATCGGTTGTTCTGTTTCATAAAAATAGGATCCATTATCTGATTTTTCTTTTAATTTTAATTTACCCACCTAACCTCTCTATAGTTTGTACATTTTTTTTTTATCATTTATAAGGCTCTTCACGCATGTTATATAACTAGCCTCTTCACAAGCGCTTTTGGGCATGCGAGAGGCTTTTTTGAAAAAAAAATTAAATGTGTGTAAGAATTAAAAAATAATAATAGGTAGTTCTGTTTCATAAAAATAGGATCCATTATCTGATTTTTCTTTTAATTTTAATTTTTTTAAATATGAAAACGTGTGAATTTACCATATTATCCTCATTTAATTAATAATTTCAATTCTTAATGTTTGCATTAACGAAGGGCATTTTCTAGTATTTTGAATGTTTCACAATTCTCTGTCTTTTGCTATTATCCTCATTTAATTAATAATTTCAATTCTTAATGTTTGCATTAACCAAGGGCATTTTCTAGTATTTTGAATGTTTCACAATTCTCTGTCTTTTGCTATATATATATATATAATAGTTGATGAAGGGTTATATTTTTTTATATATTTTTTATATACTTTGTTGGTGTATTTAAACTCCATTTAAATTTATTTCCAATATGATTGTGAATTACTTTTTAGTTCTTCAAATTTCGTAGTCGATAGTTGTTTGGTTGAAGTGAGAGTTATTAATCCAGGTACAATGGGATGTGAACACTACCTTGGACAACTAATCTGACTCACATTATTTTTTTCAGTCGAAGTCTAACCCACATTTGTGTTGTAATTATAAGATTTAATAAGTAACCATCTTTTTATTAATTAGACCCACCACATTAGTTTAATGAATTGATATAATACAACTAGTATGTGTACGTATATGAGTACTTGCCTTTTGGCTGGAGCAAAAGATCCAAGCCCAACATTGTTCTCTTTTTACTGGCTAATGAGGGTGACTTTGAATATGTTTTGATTGATACACAGTGTGAATATCAAAATCATTATAATTTGCGTATGCTTGAGGCATTTTGATGCATGCTTGATCATAGTGCAAGTAGGCACATTTCAACAATATTGCTTGAGCTTTGTGATCAGTAGTCTGTTTTGGTTGAAATATTTGTGATCATACCTTCACAAGAGAGGGAGAGCATACAAAAATTGGATTTGCAATGTATTTTTAGATGTGGTATACCAGCAATTGAAGAATTAATCTTTTTGATTGGCAACAAAACCCACCACCATAAATTCAAGTTTGTCAATAGGTCACTGCTACATATATGATTGGTTTCGTTTTATAAAGCGCTTATGCTTCTAATGTCTCTCAGAGACAATTTTTTATTACATGGTCAAAACTTAAAACTTAGTTGCAAATGGCTTTATCATGTTAAACGGAGTTCAACATTAGCTTAGTTGTGAAATTTTTAATATAGAATCAATTTTTTTGCATGTATTAGAATATGTTATATAACAGGTACAAAGGGGGGTCAAGGTCACTTCAGGCCTGAATTTGGCTACGCGTAGTTTTACACTTCTCATAAATACGCAAAAGTGAACCATTCTTTAACTTCCAAGTCAGAGACAATTTTTTCTACTAATGTTGAGATTCGGGTTCTTCCCCGTGAGGCCAAGGGACTTCGACTTTGTCTTTGCTCAGTCGACGAAGGCAATTACACTTGTGGCAAGAATGTCAAGCATGAAGGATGCCTACATTGAATCAAAACAGTCTCAATAAATTGCTAGGAAATAGATTTCCTGGCTAATAAGCAAATAAATCACGGCCTACAACAACAGCAAAAAGACCGCCATTGTATTATATATTTCTCCATTGAATCCATTAATGACCAAGTCCTATAACGTGTATATGGAAACTAAACCCTGCCCCTTCCAACAAGGCACACATTTGTTGATATGCTGCAATCTTCATCTATAAATAGAGGCAAGGGAGCCAGGACCAACACAACAAAGCCTTCTTTCATCTCTCTGGCTAGCTACCAAATGCCTGCAATGGCCTCAAAAGCCATCTCAGTTTGTGTAGCCTTTTTCCTCATCTTTGTGTTGCTATCTCAAAACACTCATTCCAAACCTACTCATGATCAGCATGACCCCTTCAAGTTCTTCCAACACTTGGAGGGATGCCACTAGGGTCAAAATGTGAGCGGGCTGCAAGAGCTCAAAAAATACCTCACCAAATTTGGCTACCTGAATTATGATCATTCAAAGCATGCCAACGACGACGAGTTTGATGACATTCTAGAGTCCGCCATCAAGTCATACCAAAAAAGCTATCACTTAAAAGTCACTGGAACTCTAGACACCACCACGGTGAAACAGATGATGGTGCCAAGATGTGGTGTGCCGGATGTTGTCAATGGCACGCGAAAGGGCAGCAAGAAACACAACCATAAGCACAAGTCTATCCATGGGGTTGCTCATTATGAGTTCTTCCTCCCCGGACCGCTAAGATGGTCCAAAACCCATCTGACATATCGCTTTCGTTCAAGTGTGAACCAAGTCCCTGGCACACAGAATGTAAGGTCTATATGTGCACAAGCATTTCAGAGATGGGCACAAGTGACCGGTTTTACATTTGAGGAAGTCCCTGCTACGTCAGCAGCTGATATTACCATTGGATTTCACAGGGGCAACCATGGAGATCGTTCCCCATTCGATGGCCCCGGATGGACTTTAGCGCACGCTAATCCGCCTACAGGTGGGAATTTCCATTATGATGCAGATGAGAGTTGGAGTAGCAATCCAGGACCAAATGAGGTAGACTTGGAATCTGTTGCCGTGCATGAAATAGGCCATCTGCTGGGGCTTAATCACAATCCTGACCTCCCGGACGCAATCATGTATCCCAACTTCGAATATGGGATTATAAAACGGGATCTGCATAGGGATGACATTGATGGCATACGTGCTTTGTATGGTTTACAGTAGCAAACGCATTCTTACCACTTTGACAAAGGGTCTTTATTACCAAACAAAATAAACAGAGGATTGATGAATCCATTATTTTAGTATTATGCTACAAGCATTTACAATAACAAAAGACGGTTCTTTCTCCTTATAAGTACTTACATCTCACCACATGCAATTATATTTTTCCTTCAGATTTAGGGGTGTATAGATCTTGGAAAGCCAGGTTCCCTAGTATCAAGATGCAGTTGCTTGATAAATTGTACAACAACTTTGCAAGCGTTTATAGCTGCAAGAGACCCAAAGGTGTCAATTGAGTTATGTCCTGATTGTCCTCCAGCAAGATCGGATAGCCCTCGAATGACGATCACCGGGAAGCCGTTTGACAAGCTTGTCTGCCAAAACCACCACAGCTTATTTGCTACTTTTGTAGGTGAAAATGAGGGTTTTTTTTTTTTTTGGGGGTAAAATAAATCATACACGTATACGAAATGCTTACCATTACCACAGCTGAACTTTCCATGTCCACGGATGAAACTCGAAAAGTTTGAAAAAGGAAGTCCCTGTAAGCTGCATTGTCCACAAAAATATTGGCTGTTGAGCCCCTAAGACCAACAACTAACTGCGGCTTCTGTGGCAGACACACGCTTGAATTCAAACATTGGTTCAGTTTGATCCCCTGAAATAATATGACACAAGTTACAACTAGTTTTCAGGAAAGTTTACCATAAAAGAACAAAGACTTTGATATCAATCATTTGCTTTTCTTGTTCTCTAAGTTTACTCCGGCGTAGATTGACATAGAAATGAGGCGATCTGGATGTCTGACCTTCAAGTTGGCAGCAACCTGAAGCCACTGCCGAGTAGTATTTGCCCAAAACAGCGGCCGAGCAATGTTAGCCTTCCCGTACTCAGAAAAAAATTGTTCATAACTAAATCCAATGTGTCCCAACAGGTTATCTCCTCTTGGTACATTGTATCTTTTAAAGTCCAAGTTTGCGACTTCATCATAATTCAAAGATCGATTTGGGTTCTGTTTGTAAGAGCTATGTTGCAATTAGTTGGACTATAAAATGGTAGAAGCACATAAAAGGATGAAAAGAGATTCAGAATATACTTTACCAGCCAATCCCAAATGCCAGTGTGAGCAAACTCTTGGGGAATGGTCACATCACCAATGGACAAGGAATTGTTGGCATTGCCAGCAATGCCAAAATGGACAATTCCCAGAATATCAAATAGATCCAGCATTTGCTGTGTTGCTGCAGCAGCATTCACCTGATTGAGAAGGGGTTTCGAGGAATGAAAATAATGAAAGCTCGCTCAAATATAGTGGATAAAAATTACCAATTTCTATGTCTCTTCATATTTTATGAATTGTGTGATATAATATAACTGGTTAGTAACTTGTATGCATTAAAAGCCTCTTAAGTGACAAAAATGACAGAAGCTGACTTTTGGTCCATTAAGGGAAGTAGCATGGCTCACCATCCCAACTCCACATCTCACATAGACTACTTTCTTGTCATGGATCTTTCCCACCAGGAATCGCCTCCCTGCAACACCACACTTCCTTTCAGATAAACCAAACTAAAATATGTGAAAATCTTCTTCAAAATGGTAAGGGAGAAGAGAAAAAAAACAGAAAAGTAGCACAGAAAATAACTGTGCCAACCTGAGAGATCCACAGAAGGATGCTTTTGATTAGGCTTAAAAGCCCCAATCTGAAAAAAGGCAGTCTCTTCTGGTGGAAACACTGTGATAAGGCCAATGTATGGTCCTTTGCAGTTTACTTTTTTGATTAAATTCAAAGATCTCCAGTTTAGTGGTAAAGAAAAAGAATAAGCAACTAGTAAGGAGATCAAAACCAGCATAAGAAAGCATGCTGCAAATCGTTTTGCAGCCATGGTTGCGATGAACTAAACGAAATTGCTACACAACAAGGGAGCTGGTGATGAGAACTACTGGCCAGTGGCCACTGAAGACACTTATGTAATGCTTCATACCTTTGGCTGCACGGCAGGCTTTTCATTATTAAAATTTGAAAGGGTGACAAAAGTATGCTAATTCTATACATCGGACAATAATAAAGTTACATAGTCCTGGTTTCAACAATATGTTCTGCGGACAAATAATAAATTTACTTGTCTATTCACGGTTCTGATTATTATATCAGCGTATAAGTATATAAAACTTCAGGGTTCGGTGAATATTAAGCCTTTGAGATATTAATATATAGTTCATGTTAGACCAAGGAAAAACTTGATTATAAATTAAGTCATGGAGATAATGACACATATAATCATCTGCAAACCATTTGACCAGTTCAACAGTGTAATATGAGACCGCCATGGTCTGAGGGTAACTTGGAGCTGACACTGAGATTTGAACCTAAGACCACCACTCTCACGAACTGAGTGCATTCAGGGCGACGCCAAACCTGTGTATGATCTTCATGAGTTTAATCTCGGTATTCCAATTAAACAAGGATGTGTGCATGCTGAAAAGAAGAAATACATAGATATAGAAGACAAGGCACCAAGCACATCTGAGCTCAGTGTCAACCATTTTCAGTGGGGCATGTACCAGTTTTTCTGGACACAAGAAATTAAGGTTTGCAAAACTCGGCCTTTTTTCAGCTACAACTTTCCATGAACACACCAATTAGAGGAACTCCAGTTGTCTTATGATGGACTTCAAACTAGTGGCAATCTTTATGAGTCGATCATTCCAAAGCTTACTAAGTTTAAATATTTCCTTCGGGCTGAACTTGAAATGTTTGATCAATCAGATCTTAAGAATTCAATCCTTTTGAGAAAGTTATGAATGATTTAGAACTCAAAACTCAACAAGGTATGCTTCTCTTTAAGGGGCCAATGGCGCTGGTACTTTTAACAGTAAACTGCAACTGTATCCATCTCAAAAAGTAAAAACAAAATGCAACAATCTCATTTCCCATATGGTTTCTTGGAAACATTATATCTTTCAATGTAAAGATATTTAAAACTTTCATTAATGGATGATACTTTTTAAATACAATAAACAAGTAATGATCCCAGCCCCTTTACAGACCCTACAATTAGGACCTCACAGAGTACAAAATTATGCCACACAAAGCATGAAAATGGGCAAAAAAACCCTTATCACATACTCGGTTCTAGGCATCTAGAGGGACGGGAGCTTTGCACCTTGAAAAAGATGAATCCGCAGACCCCAGCCTCTTTCATTAAATAATAATTACCAGGGGCACATCCTTGTTCCTCCAGACTATCGTAATATCCAAAAAAAAATGTCTGTCAAAAGAACCACGCATTTCACCTATTTTGAAGCCCTTCAATTGCCTTCTTCCACTGCCAAGCTCTTTGTTTTGCATCCTCAAATTGCAGTACCTTTTTTGGCTGAGAAATGACATAACTTGTATCAGAGAAAAGAAAAAAAACATGCCCTAGTTCATTTCTTGAGAAGCAATTTCATCAACCCCAAGATTATTACACAGCATCACGTTTCATGGCCCTCCAGACTTTGAAAAGAATCATCTCAATGATAGGGCCATGCTGCAAAATCTTAGGGGACAAAACTGACTGAAGATATGTGACTGAGAGATAACAGAGCAGTAAGGCCATACCGTACAAATCTTGAACTGTGATGGAGTAGCAACTTGGATGCTGAGGTCATTAGAGTTGTCAGACCAAATTATATTTCCCTTCACTATTAGCTTGGCAGGATCCACATAAATCAGTTTTGGCTTGTTGGTAAGGATAAGTTGCACCTTCTTGCTGGTCAGTTTTTGAATCTTCTTCACCATTGAGATCATAAGAACTGACTCCCCAGGCTCGAGGAATTGTTGCCTGTTAGCATGGTATACAGATTAAAAGATCAATGTGGATTTCATAACAGAAACAGGAAATGCAATATCATAAACTCTCTACAAGGATTTTAGGAAGTACTTAGGCAATACAGGGAGTCCTTAAAATGCTACAGAAAGAAAAAATTAGCCTCCAAATCAAGTGCTATTATCTCATGTAAGCATATTTCTAGATCTGAGACTCTTGCCAAGAAACAAGAATAACATTGTCTTTATTACACTAGAGCTCATAACAGACCTTGCAAGAAAAAGATTATAATTCTTTTGAAAGTAAAAAATGAGTGATGCTAAGCATGAAGCAGAGGGGTTTAGAGGATACCATTTTGAATCAAAGGAATCAATTGAAGCAAGCCTAGTTACATGACCAGATGCTTCAGAAGATGTGGCACCACTGCTACCCTCAATTTGTCTTACTGCACCATCTCCAATGTGTGAGGGGTTCCATGAGTTATCACGGCTACCACCCTCAACTGACTGAACACAAAAAACATAAAAACACAATGTTCTAAGAAACAATCTAAGAATGCTCACTCAAGAAAGGAAGAATATATGCAAAAGTTGAGTTTCTCTATATTAATATTCTAAAACAACACGAACGTCATACCCCCGTCTCCAATGCAAGTTTTGGAGGGGTTTGCCCTCGTAAATTCTTCCAGTCAACTCCCTTAAAGAATGGATGCATCTTCAGTGCAGCATAACCATCTGGCCCAGCACCTGGTCTCCTGCTGGGATCTAAGTCCTGTAACAGTTGCATGGTGAAGTGAAGGCTGGAACTACATACTAGTCGATGCAATATAAAATACCTGAACATTCTCAAGAATGGAAGTGGTATATAATATAACTCTGTAGCTTTGTAAGGGAAGAATTCCCATAAAGATTTTGAAAATATCGTTTGCCCAATTCACCAAGAAACTTTTTGTTTCTGGGTGTATGGCTATTTACTTGGTCTGACCAAAAAAAATTACCTAAAGGAATCCTAGTTATGACTAGCAGGATTACTAATAGAAGCAGACTGCAATAAGTATAAGTTGGTAGCTTACCAATAACCGGTCAATAAGGTCTTTAGCTTCCTCTGAAAAATGATTTGGAAACCTAATATCTCTTGCTATAATTCTTTGGAAAATAAGCCACTCGCTTGCATCTTTGAAAGGAGAAGTTCCTGAAAGCATTTGGTACACGGTGCAGCCAAGTGCCCAGAGGTCATTTCTGTTTTGATATGTTCAAACGAGCAAAAGAAATGTTATCCTACAAAGGTCATATATTATTAAGAACAGACAAAATGAACAAGGAAACAAAGAAAAGACGAACTACTTGCCAAAATTAGTCAAAAAGTCTACAAGTTTTACACTAAGCTTAAGGCTTTTTTTCGACCAAAAAAAGCTTAAGAAAATTTAGAAATAAAAGTACAAGCCCCAGTAACTCCGCTTAAGTCCCTTACCCAAAAGTTGCAGGAGAAGAATTCAGGACTTCGGGAGGGACATACGCCGCTGTCCCCACAAATGTGCAGGCTTTATCATCTAGACAAAGCATCCAGAAAACAATCTCATCATATTACTAAAAAATAGAACCATGTAGCCTCCACATGACTAAAATTATAAGATACCTGATGCTGCATTTGGAAGAACAGTAATTCGGCTATCCTGCATAGGCTTTACACTCCCAAAATCAGCAATCTTGATATTACCCTCGGATGTAAGTAACAAGTTCTCTGGCTGCCATTTGAAAATCTATTAGCATGTTCATATGACCTTAAAATGCACAAGTATATTCTTAAGAAAATACCTTGATATCTCTATGAATCAATCCCATACTGTGTATGTATTCAAGTGCGTCAACAACTTCTGCTGCATAAAAGCGAGCTTCATCCTCAGAGAGACGACCTTTCTGCACACAATTTAGCAAAATAATGGATCCAGTAGAATGAAAATCTAGAGGGGGCAGAGAATCATGAACTGGAAGCATATAAACAAATTCAATAACACAGAAGAGTTAGACACTGCAAATTAGGTACTTCAAGCTAGTACCTATTTGGCATGTTCACTAATCAGTGATTATGGGAAAAATCATATTTTGAGTTCAAGAAAGAGAAGTAATGCTAGGTCAACATTAATTTCAAGAAGGAATTACAATATTCACCATATTCCTTGATATACAATTGAGGATGAAAAATCACAACATAAAACGAATTCTTCTCATTGAAAAGTAGATGCAGAGGTAATTCCACAATAACATGAAAAGGCACATGTTATAAGCTTAAAGCTTACCCTAGTTATTTGATCAAAAAGTTCTCCGCCTTCACAGGATTCAAGTGCCATGTCTTCACAGAAAATTAAAGAAACCAGTGTCAATAAGATTCCGGAATGAGCAAACAAAGAATAAAAATTTGAGAATACAAAAACACTGAACCAGAAGGAAGAAGTAAATCTGAAATGAGTACAAAAGACATGGTGACTTAGAAGAGGTTACAAGTTTACAACCAAGAATACCTACACAGTGAAAAGGAATCTTGAAATGTAAAAAATAGCCGCACAATTCCTGGATGATCCAGCTGATCAAGAACAATCCGTTCCAGCTTCACATAAGCTGTTTTATTTTCTTTGGTGATGAATTTTTTGTCCATGATCTTTAATGCATAGACAGTTCCTGTGTCCCTCTTCTTAGCTCTCACAACCTGAAATTTATTGGCATTAAGAGACAAATAAGAACCGGGAAAAAACTTTAAGCAGCACAAACAGTTCAACAACAATACGTATAGTATTATATAATATCTATAAAAGTTTTGAAACATGGTCATTATGACAGAAATTACATAACCACAAAACAACCATGAGAAGAAAAAAAAGAATAAAGTATCAGTACCACCATAAGAACATCATTTCAGGTAGCCTCCATCTCACTCCAAGACATACCAGCATGATAATATTTTTCTCATCGAGAAGAAACAAACTTCTCTTAATGCTAACAAAAATTACATCTACGTAGACATTAAAAAGTAAAATAATTTGGATCCTAAAATGCCAACAAACCAACCCCTCCCCCAACACTTCTAACTATTTTGCTCTAACACACCTATTTTGCTCTAACACACTGCAGCCAATCTTGAAGAATACTGCAGCCTTCCCGTCTTGAAGAGTAGCGCAGCCTCCCAATCTTGAAGAATAGAGCAGCCTCCCAATCTTGAAGAATAGAGCAGCCTTCCAATCTTGAAGAACAGCGCAGACCTCCAATCTAGAAAAAAACTGCAGTCCCTCAATCTAGAAGAACAACACCACAGCCCCCCCAATCTAGAAGAATAGCGCACATAGAACTATTTTAATTCCTGTAGAAACCGAAGCCCGTAGAGAGCCCCAAAATCTGATCTTTTCCCAACGCTCCTCCTCCCCTAGTCCACTGAAATCTTCAAAATTCTTCTACCAGCATAAATAACATATTGGCCAACTAAAAATCCTATGTCCTAAAATTTACTATAAGCTCACACCAACCAAATACAGGTTTGAAGCTCTACAGTCCAAAGAGTAAAGAACACAATGTACTCAAGCATCCCAACTCAGGGAAACTGATCGACCCATATGACAGTTCTTTTTCCCCTTCCATTACACTTGCAATGTTTCTATTAGTTTACTCAAAGAAAGGTTGGGAAAGATATAGCCAAAAGCAGGACTTTCCTCAAACAATGCCTTACAGGGTTTGTTTTTTGTTTTTATAACAATTGATATTGTCTAGAAGTGAATACAAACCATTATAAATTGCCAATAACTCACGTTTAAAAAAAAAATGCTGATCACCCAATAAATGTATTGCATATGCAACCCGTTCATTTACATATCAATTACATCATCCAATCACACAACTACGTTTCCAAACCATGAAAATCCACCAGTCTACGAGATTACACAGATAACAAAATCAAAACAATAAAAACCAACAAAGTTCCGAAAATAATAAATTTAAAACCGGACCTTGGAATAGGAACCAACGCCATAGATCTTGCCCAATTCAAAGTCTTGAATGCTGAATTGCTCTTGGGGAGCCCTGAAAGCAAAGCTCTTGGATCTCGGAACATTGGCACCATTAGAAGAATTCCCCTGAATCTTCAACTTAGCATCAAAATCTTTCTCCATTGCCAACATATCTCTCTGTGACAATTCCTCTACATGTTAGCACCAACACCACTTTCTCTCTCCAGGAAAAGCCTTGGGAGCAGAGCAAAGACCATCACTTGGATGGGAGAGAGCCTGCCTCTCTTTCTCTAATATTCTCTTCTGAAAAAGAAAAGGTGAAGGATTGGATTCCTTATTGTTAAATGTGGATATGTGTGTATTCAGGGGAGGTGAGCAGCTTTAGCTTTGGTTCCAATTTCAAAACCCTAGAAAGCAGAGAGAAATTGGATTATTGTGGAATTGGGTAATGGGGAGAGGAGAGAGAGAAAGAGAGAGAAAAGGGAGAGTGGAGTAATATTAGTTTTTGGATGGAGGAGAGGGAGGTATGGGGATGGAAGAAGAGAAGAGAGTGGGCACATGCCACATGGGATTCAATGATGAATAGATGGATAGCTTCCAAGGCCTAAAAAAGGAAATTGGAGGGAGTGGCAATGCTGATGCATATGGCTATTGCTGGCCATAATTGCAAGCTTTTAAGCCTTTTATGGATAGGGAGGTCCCTTGCAACGTCCATTGGGCTTCACACTAGCTTCCTATCCATCTATCTATCTCTAATGCCATATTGTATTATGATTCAAAACTTTCTTTGCAATTGCATCACTTTTCATGTGTAACGTTTTCTTGTCAGACATATATGATGTTTTAATGTGAATCTGAATCACGCATTTAAATAAAAATTAACCTAATTAACAATCTAAGTTTACATTTCTAAACATTTTATATTGTCAAATTGTCTGATAAGAATATACTTCTTTTCTAAAATGAACTATTCTTCATGACATATGCACAGTTGACTCCGCTACATTATGTTTTTCTTGGCATTTTTCTTTTGGTCGGATTTCTTGGCATTTCAAGCTGTTCATGCAAGGGAACTGCATCAATAGGTAGCTCATGCGCATATTCGAAATTGGCGCAGTTGTTTTGAATGAGCAGAGTGCGACGTATAAGCGGAATGGCATTCGAATAAAATGCTAACTTGGATAAATATTTACGACATTGAATCATAAAATGGTATTAGTTTCAAAGGAAGGTTCAAATGGTCCTGTTAGGCAGCCAAAGACATGAAGAAAAACAAAACTAATACAAACAGAAACTAATTTGCAAAAATTTCCCTAGAAGTCGCCAGAGCTGAACACAGTTGTGTCACTTAACAAAAGGTGGCTTTCCCTAAATTTTCTATTAGCATTTTCATCCGTTCCACTCAATACTAGTCATTGCCTGCACCATGGCCATTAGTTGGTTTTCCTCCTCAACACCTCCATCTCCATCCCCATAATGAACCCATGGTAGCACTGACTCAATACTAGTCATTGCCTGCACCATGGCCATTTAGTTGGTTTTCCTCCTCAACACCTCCATCTCCATCCCCATAATGAACCCACGGTAGCATTGACTCAAGCAAGACCGCCAATGTATTTCGATTTGTAACATTACGGGGAGCATGGCCACCCTCCATTGGATCTCCAACAGGATGCTGCGCAGCATCCCTCATCCTTGGATCAAGCATGAAATGTTGCAAAACTTCAGGTGGGGCAGATGGCGCTGAAGAAGCAAAATCTGAAACCAACAAGTGGGCATACCTATAGTAAACAAGTAGGCAGTCAGTCATTCTACCAAATAAAGCCTTAACGTATGCAGATATAACTTGTAAGTTCATGCAAAAGTGATAAACAAAATACTAGGGAAATTGTAGCTGAAGTATGACTTTACACTTACTCATTTTTCTCAGATGAGAATGCTTCTTTTCTCACGCATGCCCAATCCTTCTTATCACTACTATTATGCCTTAGTCTTTCAATCACAAGCTGTGCGGCATCCCTCAGCAAATTTTGCAGCTCTGGGAGCCTCCATATAAGACTATTTCTCTCAACATATATGTTTATTAGGTGATCCAACGATGGGATTCCTACTTGATCTGCTCGGAAAAATGCATTTTTGAGTATATCCGCCCACACCTTGTCCTTCAAAGGTACCTTGTCCACTAATTTCTTTAAGACTGAGGGGTGAAGCATCAATGCCTGCTTCATAAGATCAGTTGAAGTAGCCTTAGCAGTTTTTACAAGTGCATCTTTTGAAGGTTCCTCTTTCTCAAGATAGGAACGGCAAATGGCAAGGGAATATGAAAAATTTGGGAACAACCATAAGGAGTTATCACTTTTATACTCTTCAGAGAAACGTTCTAGCCATGCATACTCCATTGACCTCAAAGAAAAATAGTCAACACAAAACATGGCCCCCATTGGATCATCAGAATCTAGTGAAAGTAACAACTTGCAAACTTCTAAAGCGCATCGATGGCAGCCACGCATATCCATATTTTTCATGTGAGTAAAAAGTACGGTGAACAGAGGCTTGTTTGTTTCATAGCTGTATTTCACTTGGCAATTACCCTGCAAGGGGGTGAACATTGGATTCCATGCACATTCCAAAGCATATAAACACTTCGAGATCAGTTCTGCTGACATTTGATGCTCACCCGTAAACTTATAGTACTCTGCCACAGTTATAAGAGAATCCAAATGATAAGGATGGTATAATAAAATACTTGCAATGGCATTGATATCATGTATAGCTTTGGCAGCTTCAAATTCACTCTGTGCTTGACGGTAGGATGAGGAATGTACATATCTGCACATAAGATTAAAATCAAGATAATGATGCATGAATCAATACCGAACCAAAAAGATGTGGGATCAAATATCATAACTCCTAATCTGGTCTTGAACACATTCTGACAAACTCTAAACTGTGACTATAAACAATGGGATGGGTAAAAATAGGAAAAACCAAAATTTGAAAAAAATAAAAGGAAACATGAAGATCAATGCTGAAGTAAGAGTTGGCCCTCACTCTTGAGAGTAATACTGCAATCAAACTTTGTCTACCTACCATTAAAGAGTAGTGAAGGTTTTGACTCAAAAGATAGTTATCATTACTTATGCTGCAGGACACCACATTCATGAAGATAGCTGGATGACTGATTATGACTATATGGTACCAACCAACAACAATTTAGTACAGACTGTACTCCTTCTCAGTTGACCTTAATTTCATATAAGCATCCACAAATTTTTCTTGTGCAACTGCCAGGATAAAAAATTGATAGCACTAGCTGTTTTTGTACTCATTTCAAAGACAATAGCTAAGCAACAGAGAATAATCTTACCGAAAGTGATGGTATCCTTCGCTCACATGAAGAAATTCCATGGACAAAGAACCATCCCAGCGAGGCCAATGCTCTGATGGTGTGATCAGGATAGTTTTTCTAGGAATATAAGCACTGCGTCTTCCACCTCGCGCCATTCTAGAACTGCCACTTCGCTCATGTTTCTCAAAGGACCTTACCACCTTAGAGCCAAAGATTCTTCGCATCTCATTTTCAGCATTTAAAAACTTGGGATCCACTTGTAATGTAGACGGTGCACATGGCTTACCCAAATTATCACAATCCTTTGTGTCAGCTGATTTTCCAGGGGCATCCAAAGAGAGTGATTCAAGAATCGCATCCAAGGGCTTTCCAACATTGGATGTACTTGAAGAAGAAGAAACCTCTTTGCCTTTCTTCTTTTTCTTCTTCTTTGATTTTTGATTGGACGTTGAAACCACACCACCAACCTTAGTTTTCAGCTGAGGCACAATCGAGGGTTCATCCAAAGTTTCTGATTCATCCTCCTGCAGCCACCCAAAACGACAATTAAACATCCAAAGTAAAACCCTTTTGCACAATCCAATACCAACCCAAAAACAGCTTATGCAGAATACTGAACAATAAAATAAATAAAAATTCCATCTTTTTGCTCTGTTGCAGTTTCTCAAATCCCTAATAGGCTTAAGAATATTGAATACGAAAACAAAATTTACACAACCAAAAATACTAAAAAAAGTGAACCTGGTGGTCAAGGTCATGGTCATCGTCGTTGAGGAGGTCGAAGGGATTGATTGAAGCTTTCCCGTTCAGCTGCTGGGCTTCTTCTTCCTCCTCTTCGTGGTCTGATTCTATGCGTTGGTCTTCTTCTTGTTCCTTCAAAACTTTCTTCAACAAACGACCAGACATCGCCACAAAAATCCCAAACCCGATGCTCACAAATTCTCAATCTTCTGATCAAATCAGCTTCGGTGCTTCACCGTCAAACAATTAAACCTAAATAATCAAAACGTTAGCTTGACTCTGTCGATTACGATATCTCACAACACAGAGGAAAAACCAAAACGACCTCACTCGATCGATGCTCCTTTGCTCAATTTGCCACGTCAATACTATTTTATGCTTTAAAAATAGGCAGGATTATTATTAGAGTCTAATTTTTAAGAATAACATTTTATTACAACAATTTTCTTCCAACATGGTGAATATAAATAACACTAAATAAAGAGCTAGTTGATATCACTAATTTCAAAACATAAAACCATAAGGAATCAAAAAATTTGAGTTTCAAGCTTTAAAGAATTAGGGCTTTGAAATTATTGGGGTCTTTTTCCGTCGGAAGGCTTATCCGGGCTTGTTGATTCTTGGATCGCCATAAAGTGATGAATTAAGTCTTCATTGCCTTTTTTTGAGTTAGCGAGAACTAGGCCCAAAGTATTTCAAGGGAGAAGCAAGTCCCAGGGAAGTACTTTCTTCTTTTTCCAGAAATTACGTATTTTGTGTTGATGTCTGGCAGCTAGACGAAGAGTTGGAGATGGTGCATTGATGTTGCACAGGCTTGGTATGAGAGTTTGCTTTGGTGAATTAAGATGCTACTAGGCTTGGCATGAAATACTTGTGGCGTAGGAGCTAAGAGAAAATGAGTATAAAGAAAGGATTAAGGCTTGAGATTTTTGGTGTTTTCAGCAGCTAGACGAAGAGCTTGCGATGTTTGCGTTTTGATCGGTTCATAATTGTATATCATTTTGTACCCTTCTAGCTTATGATTTGGTTATGTTTTTTAGTTAAACTTGTGCTTTTAATCCTTTTTGTGTTTATCTTTCAGCTTTAGGTAACAATGATGGCTTTGGATAGGAAATGATGCAATCCATGCATGTTAAAGCCTGATTTGGATAAAGGGAAGAAGTGTTTAGAGACAAACTCATTTTGGCTACACCCCCCTGCCAGTCCAGTTCCGTAGGTCATATTGCAAGCTTTGTTTCAGCAACCTACATAGCTCGGATGAGGCAACATTCTTCATGAAAGTTGTTCCAATGGGTGTGTACTATAACATATCCAAAATTCAGCCCCATTGAATACATATGGAGTCCGTTACCTAGCAAACACAGAACCATACTCAGGATGGAT